GGGAAACCAAGAGACTCATGCTTACAAAAATGTGCAGAACGCCAACAGATCCTCAGCAGCATGCAGTCTGTAATCCTAGCAAGGTAATGAGATTTACAGAAGCTAAATCCAAAGATTTTTTATTACACTGTGAAAGCATGTTCAATTTTAATATTTGTCAACGTGAGTGAATTCAACTCATTTATTTATAGCATGGTTGATACAAATTTCAACCTAAACTTGTGTAGAATATACATGATTAACAATTCAGAAACAATTTTGAGCTCCCAAAAGTTTACTTTGAGACCTACTTCACTCCTTCCCAGAACATTAAGAGACTTAAATCTTCAGAGTGGTTCAAACTCCAGACCTCCAAAATCCTGGTAGCATTTTACCTCCTACATGACAACTGCCTGTGTTCCATTATGAATTCTTTCTGCACCTGAATTAACAGATTATGATTACCTGAATTATTATTACTACTATTTTCTCTGAATTACCAGGGTCTGGACCCAGCCATTAGCAGAGAGCAGATGTGATATACCTATGGTAAAATGTGAGCTGATATTCTTACTTTCTTATTATCAAGTAGGTTCTTGCACTAGAAAAGGATCACTTCATCTAGTAAACCCTTTCATCAGTATTTATCTCACTGGTGAGATTTTAAAGTGACAACCAAAATATAGTCAGAACTAGCAAATACTAGATTTTCAATTTATCAGAAGTCTATTACATAATGCTTGTCTATTCTTTAAAGAAAGATGTTTATTTTATATGAAGACACATACCCCTTGATGATTTCAGAAAGATTATATGGAATAAGAGGCTGCTCTTTGCCTTAAGTTTGAAAGAAATTATCCTAGGTTCTTAACTTACACTGTGGTTTTAGTATTTGCTATATAGTAGTATTTACCTATACTATTAACACCTCTGTTGGGTAGATTTTTTTAAAAAAGGAAAGAGAACAGAAATACAATGTTTGGGGGGGAAAAAAAAAAAAGTCTAATCCATAATCCTGATGCAATTTCCTCAGGTCTTTCTGGGAAGAATCTTGCAGTGGAATCCCAAGCTACAAGTTAAATTAGGGCAGAAAATATGCTTTTCTCATAAAACATGCTTAACATCGCACAAAACTCCAATAGAAGTACTATAACATGGATTAGCAGTATCTTAAATACTGAAAAGAAACACATGGGAAATACCTACTCTGTAAATAAGTTCAAGCATAAAATCCAAAAGCAAATACTCAGGCCAATCTATAATATTTGATCAGTCTCAGATAAATACATAACACTGCAAGAAAGTAAAACTTATTGGCAAATCAGCCCAGAATACTAGTGGGAAGAAAGGGAGGGCATGTGTCGTAAGGAAAATAACATGACAAAGTCCATAAAACCAGTTTAAAGATATTTTAATGCCAAGCCACAGTTCAAACCCAATACATTTATTTTCTACTAATGACAAGGTCAGATATAAATCTGTGACTGAAATCTGCAGCTAACCTAACACTGTACAGCAGCGACCATTCACCATATGGAGCAGCGTTGATGCAGCTGGGCAGGAAGGGCATGAGAAGGGCGACTCCTCATCTCACTCCACCAATCCTCCTGGCAGATTTGTGGCCAGTTGAAATTTCATGCCAAAAGAGCTTTACAGCGATGCTCAGAGAGGGAGAACAAGATTAAAAAGGACATAAAGAAGCAGGCAGGGAGCTTTAGATATTTTAAGAGAGAGCCAGCAAGGTAGGCTTGGGAGATATAGGAGAAAACCATTGTGTAAATGAAAACATGGGCTGTTCAAAAGGAAAAAAATGAACTGGCAGTGATGAGCACTGAGTATCACGAACAGATGAAGGCAAAGTGCAACGGATTTAGGATTTTATTTTTAGTCATATTGTTAAAGAAAATGGGCTTTCAAAGAAGAGTACTTCATGGCTAGCATGCTCATCTGCTTTTAACCAGGATGTATAAAGACTACATCACTAGCATAAAGGAAATGTTAAATGTCGCTGTAAAATTTTTACTGCAGAAGAAAAGTTCAAACTGCAAGTTACAGATCTTGAACCAAAGTTTCCAAAGTTTGGAGCACCAGCATTTCTAAATGGTTCTCATTAGAAGTGTCTGTAAGAGCACTTAGAGAAAGGGTTCATTTTTCTTCCTATTATCAGCAGTGACAAGAAGAGTAAGAGTTAACACACGCAAGTTGTAACGGGTTCTCAAACCCAGAAACATGTCTCTTCCATCAGAAAACATGACATAAATTTTGTAAAATTTCATTACAGTCTACTAGCATTTATGAACCAGTCACTCCAAATTCTCCATTTCTAGCCTTACTAGGTCTTACACATATAGTCATGAAAGAATTGACGAACTGAAATTCAGATGACAAGCAGAAAGCAAGGTTACTTATTGAAGAAGGAGCAGACACTACCAAACTGCCTGGCCTTGTGTTGGACAGAGATCTAAATCCAGTCCAGAGACACCAAGAAGAATCAGAGTGACTTTAAATTCTGCAAAGGTACATTTTCTACAGAGCACTTCTTTGCTTCTGTTGAAACATACAAAATATTAATGTCAGTTCATTACACATCAATGCATTTGTATACTCCCCTGTTATCAAGTGTCCAAATGAAAACAGTCTACTTTGAATAAATTACTCCTGAATCATCAGCCAGCTTTCTTCTACAAATCCAGGAGATCTCGACTATTTGCCAAATCTCATCTATGACTGACTGACTGACAGACTTCTCTAAAAGATGTTCTCTCTGTTAAGTGTGAGAAAGGTACCAGCATACATGCATTTCATGTGCTATAAAATCTGATATTTAGAACAGATAGAAATGTGCTAACGATAAAGAAAAACATAAATAAAGGCTATAAAACATGATGGTTTTAAGTCCATGGACTGGATCCAGCCTGCAAGAACAACTCATTCAACCTCCAATAGGAAAGTCTCTGTGACCATTTTTCCAGGAGGTCCACAAACACAGAAGCTGAGGGGTAGATGAAGTCTTCTCGCAACCCACTTGCTGCTGTTTTGGTCCCTGGGTTCCTCCCCAACTCCCCTGCCTCAGTCCATCATGTGAGCATGCTGCGTACTGCCTCAGCCAAAAGTTTTGGAGCAGAAAGGCTACTTAAACCAAAGCTAAAGACTACGTGAAACCACAGCACCTTAAAATAAATGCTAATTTTGACTGAAGTGGTGACAATCCTAATTACTCTTATGATTAGTTCTGTAAGTACCATTCCAATACCCTTATTCACACCAGCAGTCAGACTTGCTGACAGCTCACTACTGCATTGTCCTCAGCAAAGGAGACAAAAGTTATGTCTGATGGCAGTTCAAACAATACATTCACATAATCATTTCCCTTTGAAATATGAAGTTGCATTACTAAAATAATTCATGCTGGCTTTGTTGTGGTGCTCTTTGGTAAGAGAAACTACAGTGTCTCAGAAATGTGTATTCTTCATGTTCACATCCCTCATTCATTTCTCTCACTACACAGGGTGGAAGAAATATTCTGATTGATGCCGATTGATGTTACCATAATAATCCATTACCAGGAAAAAAAAATCTCAAAACAGAAGTCACTAACTGTATAATTCCCTTATGATATACAACAGTGATTCTGAGTTGAGGATTTTTTTTTAATGAACGTGGGTATTTCTCCCATTTGCTCACTAATTTATTCATTCTAATGTACTCACCATAACTTTTGTTTTAAAAAATTTTCCATTTGTTACTAATGGAATATAATTACTTCTAATCTCAAGATCCTGAGCAGAAAATTCCACTTCTTTTCAGGCTAGGAATACAACTAAACACACACCCCATTATTGTATTAGACACTGCAGAGATACACAAGTGGAAGGCAGAGGGTCAGCACTTAGGCTAAGCTTTCAAAGACCAAGAGGGAAAAGTGGACTAACAGAATAATTTCAAAAATATATACTGTCTCAGTAGGATCCCAATTTACTTGTACTTTCATTCTGACCTTGGTATAGCCACATTGTTCAGGTAAATCATTCAAGTCTGCACAGGAATACTTCAGGGGTGTGTGTGTGTGTGTGTGTATATATATATATATATATATATATATAAAATGTGCCCGTCTGTGTATCTTTGCACATGTAATTTTTTTTAATCTATACCTAATCCGAGTACTCTTTGCTATCAGCTACTAAAATATTTCAAAGCCCAAATAAACGTACTAAATGTTAACTATTGACATCAAACCCCCCAAATTAGCTTTCAGTATCATCTGCAGTAGCTACTGCTAAGAAACGAGGGTTTAAGATTCACCAACACATTGTAGAGGATAAAGATACTAAACTGAAACACACTTCCTGGCAGAAAAAGACAGCAAAATTGAAGATGGGAAGCTGAGCCATAATTCATATGAATTATAAAGATTAAAAAGAAATACAGTGTTCAGTATTGCTTGAGCTATATCTCTTTCAGGCAGATAAGACCAGGTTGCATAATGTGACTGGAATACAGGTGTACTTCTAACGTGAAAATAGGTGTTATGTAAAATAAAGAGTCTTTCCCCTCATTTGTCCTAAAATGTAAGGGATGCTTGATCACCATTATTTGTGAATATTCTTTTGCAGCTTCCACTTTGCAGTTACTACGTAATTTTAGCATTCGATTAGAAAAAAAAACCATGACTAATCAACTTCACAGTGCATGGAATACAAACATAATTTTAATATAATTGCTAGTATATCTGATTTTATGTTTCATTTCTACATCCACAGATTTTCCAAGCTTCATGTAAAGAAAGCTGTCAATACAAATGTGAACATACAAAAAAAAGCAAAAATTCCTTTCACCACCCAGACTGTATCTAGTATATCCAAAGATGGACCACAAGCTCAAGTACATTAAAGGCCCAGTGGTGACAAATAACCAGCTTGATTTGGATGCCGTGAATTCAGCAATAGGTAAAATGTTTCAGCACATACGTAGCTAAATCATGTTTACATTTTGGGGAAAAAAAAAAAAAAAAAGCTTACCTGCCCATTTTTTCCCAGTTCCATTTCAACTATTGCAACAGGAGTGTTTATCTGATCAGTGTGTCTTGACTGTGACTTCAGATCCACCCGCCAGTTCATGTTTTTCAAGACATTATCCCAACGACTTTGACTGATCAGGCTCTCATGGATCTTTATTCGGTGGTTCTTCCAAAACTTTGAAATGACTGCAGCTTGATCTGATGTGATGCCACCTTGTTTTTTGGTTTGGGCAGTAAGAAAAGCCTCCAGCTGATTCAAATCCATGTCTGCTGAAGCAATTGACTGCACGGAAAAGGAGAGGAATAAGAGGGAAAAGCTTGCTCAAAAATGCTCTTTAACAGTCTCCCAAATGTCACATCTTTAGGGTTTTATCAATACCAGATTTTAAAGGGATAGTGCAAACAAATCTGTGTTATGGAAATAACCTGACAACTTTCATTAAAACTCAATTTCAAGTGACTACCACTTATCCCAGAATTCCTGCCCTCAGACAGCTGGAGGGTAATGGACTGGTAACAGTGATAAGGAAACTGGGAGTGCCTTTGGGAATGCAGTACTGGTACAGGAAAACCAAAAGACTCTTCAGTGTCTGCCTGACCCTTGCCCCCAGTATGCCCCAAGCATACCGAACTGGTCACTATTGGGAATACTGGGTCAGGGGTCTGGCATGATACTGCTGCTCTGATGATCTATTAAACAGGAAAACTGTGGCAAACACACACCCGTGGCCAAGACTGAAACAAGTGAGGAGACATCCTAGCTCACTGCAACATCTACAGCTTCACTGGCCACCTCCACACCACAGACAGGGAAGCAAAACTGATAAATGCTGCACCAGTAAAGCCAGGCCCGCAGCACTGGCCACAGCAGTGTGCTCGCTGCAGCAGCAAAAGAGCGAGTCTTCCAAGGGAGAGTCTGCGTGTGGGAAGCAATCCTTAAAAATGCAACTGCAGCTTCTTCTGAAGCTGTCAGGTTAAATACTGGGTTTGTGCTTTGCAAGGGAGCATAAGAGGTCATTTACTCCTTCACCCTGCGCAGCCACAGAAATTATACTGCTCAAACCCATTTTTTTCATAGATATCCAGTTTTTCCACAGCTGATAATCCTACAGCCTTAAATTTGCATTGCCTAACTGGCAATGGTTGCTAAATATGGCCATGAAGGGAGGGGGAGAACAGGAAGCAGAGAGAGGAAACTGTGTCTAAGTTTCCCCACTGTAGTTTCAAGCAGGCACTTTTCCTTCATTCTCACACAAAATGCATGCAGCTTATCCTAAACGAACATGCCAGCTCCAAGCACACACCAATATGGAGCACAGCAAGGTGAAACGGAGCCAGTGCTGCAATCCTTGGGATTTACCTCAATTTAAATTTTCCTTGACATGGCATTCCTACTGCCTACTCCGTATGTTCAGGGAAATAACGATCTCACTCTTGTTAGCCAAGAGGGTGACACCATGTGGCTTTTGGCCGGATGCACACTGTGTGCTTCACACTGTTTATCTGCAAAAGTGGGTATCACTTATCTAAAAATCAAGGGGTTAGCACTCCACGAGCTTGTCAATTATGCTAAACCTACTGCTTCTATCCAATTCATAAGCGATGAACTAAAATTGTCAGCGGAGTGAGCTACTGGCAGGCTCTACCATCTTCCTCTAGACCAGACAGATGTCAAAGCACACGACGTCAGTCACCTCAGGAATGGCCCGAAATAAAACAGCCGCTAAGAAAAACAAAACACAAGAACTAGCCCAAAACAAAGAGCTCACCCATCACACAAGCAACAGAGAATAGCAGCAGTTGCTGCTTTGAAGTGAGTAAAGCCAACACCGCGATGGGCTCAACATTCAGCAGATACGCCACCACATCCTCCTTACCTTGAGTTGTTTTTCAAGAGAAAAGCAAACCAGAAACAACCTGCCCCAAAAGCCCAACGAACAACCTGTGATCTACAACTGTTAGCTGCCTTTTATCACCCAGTGTCTAACAGCTTTCTCCGGAAGCTTCTGTAGTAGTTTTTCAAAAAGAGGGATACGCTGCCCTCCCTTGCTCTCACAATGGATTAGCTGCCATCTGTTATGTGATCGAGAAAAGAAATGGCAATGCACACTAGAACTGCTCAGCTGTATCAGGATTCCAGCTTAATAGAAGCGTCTGCCAATTTATTATAAAATTTGAGATGCCTAGTGTAGCACTCTGTCTTTTCTGTAGGGCACTCACCATATCTGTATATATTGTTTGCTTCTATCATGAAAACAATTCACTTAAGAGATAATTATCTTGTAATAACTAGTTATGCTGTAAATGAAAAAAGCACCTTTCATTTTCAAAAGAAAAGCTATTTAGACTTAGTCCTTTCCTACATCCACATCTTACATGAACAGGGTTGTCTATTAATAGCAGTGTGGAATATTTTCTGGTTTAGTGTTTTTCGTAACACTACATCTGTGTGGGGATCTGTTTGCATGTTGTGTGACACCGACTACTGCTTAGTGTCTTTTGTGTTGGTTTATGTGAACGGCAGGAGGAATAGAGGTGAATCAACAACCCCAGATCCCAGCACCTTATGTAAGCCCTGCCAAGACCAAAATCAAGTTTGAGATGCAGACTCTCTTCTTAGTTCAGCTGTGCAGAAAATTGCCTTCTGTTTTATTGCTGCGCAGGAACCAAGAACATGAACTGCATTCTCTGCACTGAATGAAAGGTGTCATGGAGAAACATCTAATGTGCATGAAGTGTGAACCTAATGCAGATTCACTGGATCAAATAACCAGGTAACCCTTTTCCAGGCTTGATTTTATAACCTTCAAATATTTCATATTTATCATTCTCTGGATTTTTTTTAACCTCACCTCCTTTACAACTGTGTTTGAAAGATGCAGCAAGATTTCTGTCAGTGCTTTGCTAAGCTGATAAAAACCAGACATATGAAGTTCCTTATTGTGTTTGACACACGATATAAATCTGACTTCAAAGTGTATCCGAAAGGGGACACTTATGACCAAGCTTGCAGTTTTAAGGATAAAGACAAAACAGTATTACTAGGGCTTATACAGGTCAGTTAAACTTGCCTGTTTGGCAAAGATCACCAACACACTGATGATTAGTTAAGAACTGATGCAAGCTACATTTAAAAACTCTGTATGTTCATGTACTATAAGCACCCTGATGTAGTTTGCTACCAAAATACTGTCACATAAAACAGAGGAAGGAGACCATGTATCATAATTCGCAAACATTTCTCTCTCCCTCTCTCACATAATACATGTGCATAAGTACACACAATATGGATCATTTATACTGTACATGTACACAGCTAAGAAACCAGGAGATAACAACCATATTGTCGAAATAAAATGCATGCTTTAAATAATATACTGATATAGTCCATCACTTAGACTAGAATCTCTCCCAGCTTAGAACTACAACTACTACTTAAAAGCTCCTTTAAAAAAAAAAAAATAAAATATAAATTTTAATTGAAAGTGGGTACAATCAATCAATGAGTTATACTCCAGTATAGCTGCATGAAGATACTAGTGAAGACATATTTGCTTTGAAATTCCACAACAAAACCCACCAGCTATAAATGTTTTCTAGTCACATAAGAACAGCAACTCATTTTAATATTTTTTTTCATCTTAACTTGGCAACATTTCACTGCGGACAGGAAGCCTGATATGAATAACAAAGAATGAGAGAACAATTAAGGTCTTTGCTCATCTTCCATCTCCTTTATTGTATGAACACTAAATACAACTAACTCTCTAAACAAGTGTAGTTCTACTCCATTACTCATATGAATGACCACAGTTAAATTTTGGACTTCTTTAAAGTTTTAAATGTTTTTTAAGTGAAAAAAAAAACCCAAAACAACCCAACAAAACAACAAACCAACAAACAACAGAATGTTTTAATTTAACTTGGCAAAAAACTGTATTTCCAGTCATACTCCACGGAGCATTACAGTTCTTTCCATACACAGAATATCAAATTACAGTGAATACACCTTACTGGAATTTCTAAGGATTAATTTAAATTTAAAACATGAGTCGTTCTTCTGTCCTTATAACTGAAGACAGATAAAATATATCTGATTATAGGTCCCCTCTCATGCTTTTAAACCCTAGGATCTTTGGGTGAGTGTTTACCACCCCCAGGACAATGACCAGCTGTTGTCCAGCTCCCACAGCACTGATAAAGGTGGATTCACTACTGAAATAAACACTACACAAACATTTCAGCATCGTAACTGGGAACTTCTCGGGACTTAAAGGTGTTGAAATCTGTTTTATCCATCAGCTCCTACAGCTGAACCACTGTCAGCACTGGTTCAAGACAGATACATCATATTAATGCCAGTAACTCAGTCCAGACGAACTTTAACGTGCAGGATCTACTGCTGTACCTTGAGTCACTGTACTGTCAGCGACACACAGTATTATATCATATAGTCTTTGTATTCTGAGCTAAGTGTGGGTACATAGAGATCCTGCTGTAATTGTTTCCCACCTCATCTCTTCAGCAGTCCTCAGTAAGCATAGTTTTGCAATATATTATCATGTCCCTCTTTTATTTACTGTCTCATCTCTGCGCAGTTCTATAGCACGTCAAGAAGTGCTGTGTTAGAAGTATCATGACACTGAGGAAAAAGAGTTATGAAGGACCTAATTCCAGTTGTCATATGTAGTCACAAATGATTTACATAAAAATCCTTAACTAATAAAACAGAAAAGTTTTCTAAGAATGTACAGACTCGTAGCTGTTCTACACGAGCAAGTAATTTAGTTTACATTACTGTATTCACTCAAGTGACTAAGTAAAAAAGCCCGTTTTCAAAACTAGAGTCTGTAAGAGAATACCATTAGATATTAAAATTTTCGTCACATTATGTATTTTGAGATTTAAAAAAATATATTTTTTCCACCCCCTCAGGAAGCACAGCTTATAGACAGCATGTCATACTACAAGCACACAAATCCTACCCTCAGCAACTGGCCAGACCTTTCTTTCCAAAAGCTGGGCAGATGCTTTTAAAAAACAATAGTTTTGGTCATGCTGACTTCTCCTTGTGTTCACCTTCAACACATACCCACTATGTGTTCAAATACAATTCAGACAATAAAAATATGATTTAAAATACTATTTCCTTAATGGAACAATATTTGATAATCTGGAGAGTTTTGTATTGGATTAATTATATCCATTAGACATGTGTGTTTGTACACAGAACAGGAAAACAGACTTAAATTCATTTTCTCTTCTGAGAAATAAAGCCTGACAAGCATGCAATACTAGTGAGAAACAACAATTGGTAAATCCCATCGGGAAAAAAGAACACAGTTCATTTCCAGAAATAAAACATTACTTATCAACCATTACGGAGCGGCTCCAAGAGCTGGCCATGCCAGTATGTGTATAGGCATTTTCTCCAGCTGACCCTCAAAATTGCATGCTGCTGCTAGCCTGTAGCACAAAGAAATCACAAGCTCAGAGAAACAAACAATTCAGTGCCATGTACCATACCAACAAATTTGCTTCTTCGGGTTTTTGGAAGGCGGGGCTGAGAAGCTATTCCTGTAACACAGCCCTTGTAGTCTGGATGCTCTCAGAAACATAACCTTGAAAACTGTTTCTCAGACCCTTGGAACACATGTATGGAGAAGAGGGGACCAGCTGCAGACAGGAGGAACATGCCAAGGGGCCCCACTCAGCCAAAACATTTTGATTGCACAAAGCCAATTCTTGTTAACATCAGGATACTACACATGTCTTTCACTTATCAGTCCTAGAAGAAAACCCTTCCTGGATTGGGGGCACATAGGAGATGCCTGCTGCATGCAGCTTTGGGGTGTGTAGTTTCTTCCTCCTTATCTAAAAAGGAAGGCAACCCTGGGAGAGCACGGCAGGAACAGAAGCAGCTCTCATCATCTTTAGGTGTAATGTCACACACGAGTCCTAGTGACACATCTTATTTGTCAAAGTTAGCTAAGCATGTTCTTCTGCAAAGAGTTGCTTCTGACAGGAGGAATTTGAAAACATCTCTGCAACCCCGTGGTTTCTGGATCCTCCTTTGTAGGCGTGTACTAACCAGACTCTCTCCCAAGGGTTGCTGAGATAGCCAGTTCTGTAATAAGTGAGCTGTTCCCAGAGATGTTCTCTGGATATTAGTCCAGTTGACTTTCCCACGTTTCTGGAGACAGTGGAAGTTTTCAACTAGTTGGTACGTTGTGCCTCACAAAAGCTGTTTATTAGAGTCCAAGAGCTCTCCTGAGAATCAGAATGAAGATAAAATTAGATGCAACAGCCTGCTTGTCTGCACTTGAAAATGGTGATCCATCTTTCAGAAAAAAAACCCCAAAGCTGAAGCCTTCTGCACTCCCTGCAAATTTCTAAGTCAGAAAACACAGGTGACCTTAATAATACATTTAGTATTTCTACATCAAAGCGGAAAGATTTCAACTGATCATTTTCACCTAATCCATGGGAGATCACAAAAGTTTATTTTATTCAAGTTTCATACTATGTCTCAATATTATTTTAGTTTGCTTCTTACTGAGCTGTAATACACTTAAAAGTGAAGTGAGACAGTCTGAATCATTAAGAGGATAATAATAAACATGTAGTTAAAAACCTGTAGTTTAATTTTTTTTTTCTAGTCTGCAATAGGTCTTTTGCAACTATTTCTTATTCCAACCTGTAGAGCCTTTTGATTCATTGCCAAGGAAACACTAACCAGGTCAACGGACATTCAGTAGACTTGTAAATATTTTTAAGTTTGAGTTTCTGACTTTCATCAAGCTTACTCTGACTTTCATCAAGCTTTCTTCTTGGACAGAAAGACTCACAGCAACAAGAAAAAAAACAACTGATACTGCAGATGGGAAAAATGTGTGTGCATGATGAAGTTTCAGGCAAAATTACATCTTTCTTGCATTTCTAATCTTATTAAGCTTGATTCCACCCAGACTTGTCAACTATACACATGGAAGATAAAACTCTTCTCAATGCGTTGCTTCCATGCTTTTTGACTGACTCCTTTATTTTCTCCCTCAAGGTTCCCAGGTTCCCACCAAGCAGAAAACCCTCAAACCTCTATCTTACTTCTTTTGTGTACAAGCTCACCAAACTCATTGTTCCCTGCTAAAATTACTTTTTCATTTGAACATGAAGTTCAATAACAGGGGAGTAGATATTCAGCTAGTTTTTGGCCTAGCTTACAATTGAATGCAAAAGAGATCTCAGCATTAGTTTTTAAAAGCATCTGAAGTGACCACAACATTTTTTTCTCCAGCCTGCCTCTGCTATTAGTCTGTGTGTCTGATAGAAATGACCATTTTTAACTCATAATTCCATAAAACACCACTTCCTAAATTTATTTGCAGGAGGTGTCATTTTTCTGCGGTATGAAGACTCATTTGATGACAAGGGAGTATGAAAGGTTGATTGAAATAGGCAGCCACCACATGAACCGCAGCCTGAGCCATGCTCCTGTGGTCAGATCATACTTCCTGCAAACCTGCTGTGCTGAGCTCAAAAAGTGGCTCCCCCACCGCAGCCCCATCCTAAAAAACATCCTTAGCTGAAGGAAAACTGAGAATCATCAAGATTACTCTGTCTGGACCTACTTAAAGACTCTGTCTAGGCTTTGTACCACTTACAGAACAAGAATAAATTTAAAAAAAAAAAAAAATCAGAACAAGCCCACCCACTAATAACATTAGTCATAGCTAGATCTCCAAACAATGCCTACACACTCAGATTGCGAACAGATACTAAAAGCTTGGATTTTAAGCAATAAACATGAAAAAGCACCACCACCCCCTTCACGAATAATAGTTTCCAAACCACTTAAATTATTTAAAATAGAAAGAGGAAGACATGGACAAGAAAAAAAGGCAACGGAAAGCACTTTTCAGACAGTACAGATTGGTGTTGGCCAGGCTAGAGGGAGATAAAACAGGGAACCGAAAAAATAAGGAAATGTTCTATTAATAGCAGATATACTTGCAACTACAAGGACCAAACAGGAGGATTAAAAATATAAATATATTAAAATTAAAAGTACAAATATAAATTGTCCATCCTGGCCTGTACTCAAGTGAATTACAGGAATTAAAAAAAAAAAAAAAGCCCAAGTTTTGCTATCAGTTTTCTCCCCATTTGAGTCAAATTTTTCATTATGCTTTAGAAAGTATTTTGCTACTTGGGGTGGTGGCAAAGAAATGTCACATTTCCAGTAGTTCTTAAACATGCAGCCATGTTACAGACAAGTCTGACAGGTTCAACCTTTTTCCAAATGAATGTGCATACACATGTGCTCCCTGAACTATGCTTCAGAAGCAGCAAGTTGTTTTCTTGAAGAACATACAAATCTTTGCAGCTTACATTATTCAGTCTAAAATGGTTTCTTCTTCAGTCTTCCTGAAGGAGATGGATTCAGAAATAATAACTCTCAGCAGATGGAAGCCATTTAATGCAGTATTGCTAAACACAGAGTGGAAAATAAAAGGCAGAGAGAAATCCAGATAGGACAGAATAAATACCAGATGGTAAATACAAAAAAATTCAAGGGAGGGAGTAAAAGCAGGAAAAGAGAGACAGACACAGTGACAGTCCGGAATTGGTGACATGACCTGTCGTTCCCTTAAGAGACCACGTGGTCAGCCTTTTTTCCTGCGCCTCTGTTCTCTTACAATAAAATAAATGAGAACTGTGTTTATCAGGTTTCTACAATCATTCTGGGAAAATTACTTGCTGCCGCAGACTACTGCTTCATGTTTAATCTCATTTCACTTAGAGTTAAAAATAGAAGTTGGAGCAGCTCGTATTTTGAAGGCACGTGGAAAAAAAAGTTGTAGCCCTACCCTGAGTGCAGTAATGGTGCAGACATTAGCAGAGCTTATTGCTGCACTCTGTGGGCAGCAATCCTGTCAGTAAAATCAGGCAAAGCATAAACTAGCTTTACTGTGAACAGCACAGAAAACAGAATTAGCATCATGAATTAATTTTCACTTTTACTCAGTGTATCTTGATTGTTTGCAGCTTAAAAGGTAATGATTAACTCAGCTAATTTCCTTCTTGGTTTACATTTGGACATCAGCTCCAGCAGTGAATAACATTAAGTATGAATCACACCACTCAACTGTATGATGTCTCACCACATATTCTGATTTGGAGCCAAATTCTGACTCCAGACTCTGCCTTCCTTCCTTTCACAGCACTACTGTATATCACCTGTATTGTTCTGGGCAACAGCTGGTTAGATTTTACTACCTGGAAGAAGGGTTTCCGCACTCCTACACCAGGCTCACACCACAGCACATCACATCACTGCCTTAGTCCATAACCCTGTGGACACATTTCACAGCAGCAAAGACATCAGCAAGTAAAGGAAACAGTTTACAGTCTACACAATTTCAAGGGAAGCAAGCAAGCGTGCTTCACCATCTGGTCATCCATCACCTATTCTGGCAACTTGTGTTACACAGTGACAGGTCTGACAGGCAGGAGGTGAGCTTCCAGTCTCGGGATAGCAGCCGGCAGGTCTTCCTTTCAGCATGGATAAAACGGTTTTCCCTCCTGTTGGATCAGTGAAATATAAAACACGTTTCCCAAACCAATAGCAGCCATGATGGTTGTTAACAGCTGAGCCTTTATGAGGATCAAAGGAGCAGGTCAAACTCTTAGTTCTAGGAATCACAACTGCTCTGTAAAGGTCCCCACTCCATCCCTGGGGCTGGAAAACAGCACTTGATTAGGAGCAAAACCCAAACCAGAAAGCTCAGAAGAAATCCTCGCTTGCCCATAAAGATTTAAGTGCCACTTGCTATATCAAAAATGCTCTTAGAACTAAATCTAGTGAATGTTTTTGGGGAAAAAAGGCTAAAGACTTAATGAAACAGACAAAATATCAATCTGAAATTATATTTATCTAAAATATTCTCCAATCACATTAAATATTCCTGGCAGCTTTAATTATCCAAGAGGGTTCTCCATTTCTATCAAGTTAGGCTCCTGACAAAATCATTTATCAGTAGAGCTGGGCAAATAAACAGGTTTTCCAGTGAGCTTGTAGGAACAACTCCATACCCCTGTGCCTCCACAGACAACATGCGCTGCTCTTGAGAGCTGCACATGCATGACAGTGATTTGCAGAGCCTGCAGACTCACACCACCAGTGAAAACTGGTTGGTGCCAAACAAAATCTGGCTTTAGACTTCACTGTTGCAGGCCTTAAAAGCTAAAAACTTATTCACTGAAATGCTCCAAGTCACTGCAGCCCATGCCATCAAAAATAATTCAGTTAATTCTTCCCATGGCTTTTCCTTGACTTTTAGTCAACTTGGGGGCTACTCATATTCAATAAACTCCCCACCACTTGTCCACATGAGTGCTTTTTTTTTTTTTCATTACATGACTCTACAGATTTTCTGACATGTCATAAAAATAATCTCGTGAACAAAAGCACTCTCTCCCCGTTAGGCAATGAACAACTCTCTTTTAACCTGGTTCACAAGAAGCCAGAGCCAGATCCCTCTCTTTTGATCATTCAGAAGACTTTATACAATGGACACAAAACAAGAGGCACATACAAAGGTGCTCGTGGACAAGGAGGTACATCCAGTAACGGATGAGGGAAGAGTCCTTCTGCAAAGTTGCATCAGCCACTCATGCCTTTGTGCTCCTTAGAGTCCTCAAGAGAGGACCATCTTAGAGGTCCCAGGAGGTCTGAAGTACAGCACAACAACCTCTACCCATCGGTAAAGCACAGTTCAGGCGACCCATGCATCTCACCCATAATACTGGAAAGCAAACTGTGGGGCCATACTGCAAGACCCCAACCGGCCTCAGAACCACAGCTTACCATCTTCATCCAAGGCAATGTATAAAAACTGTGTCACTGAATGGTGTTAGAAGGGCACTCAACTTCTGACCTCTCTTCTTATTTACTGCATGCATGCATACTTACTTTGTAAACACGTTTGTGTGACTACCATTTGAGTATTTGAACAGCTACTAAAATAACAGCACACTGCCTAAACATGCCATTTCTTCTGCAGAAAAAGTGAGTTAAGCCTATTTTGTTCACTTCAAAAAAGAAAAAAAAAAAAAAAAGAGTTTAACGAGAAATGCAAAAGAAATCACAACTAATTGAAATGTATAAAATATTTGTACCATATTTGACCATGTAAAACTAAAGGGTACTTATACAAACAGCTTGTTTGAACATAATATAAACTACTCTTGAACCAGAAATGGCAAAAAGAGTGTAAGAGAATGGCACATCTGATGCAACAATCTGAAGAGAGACAACAAAGGCATGTGTAAATGTTAGACAAGGAGTGAAAATGTCTGTTGCTTACTTGCCTTTTACACAGATACTACTTGAGTGTCTGCATATATCTTCAGAACACGTTTCAGAATCCTGGCATCACGGTTTATAGAGGTTGCGAAGAAGGGAAAGAAAAAAACTACCCACCAAGCCGAGGTAGGAATCTTTTGGCAGAGATCCCAAAATGTCTCAACCAGAAAAAAAAAAATCTAACCTTATTTGGAAAAAACACAATTTCACTCAAACTATATTTGTATTGCAACTTTTTAGTGTTAGGAGAGATGGACAGATATAAAACCCATGCTTTTGGAAAGATATTAACATATGCAAGATGAGATAATTACAGTATTTTTAAAATAACTAGAAAAACACTTAAGTCTAAAAATTGTTTAGACAAGTTGGCTATTATTTCACATTTGCTCTGCCCAGTGTATTTTAGGTCTTCTTTCAGTGAGATTCTGTTGTAATCTATTTTTACTGATGTGGAATCACACATAAATCAGCATTGTTAAGAGGTAAGTATTGAAGATGCCAAAGAATCAGAGGAATAAAAAAAGTATTCCAAGATCACTGCCAGCTTTACAAGTGAAACAGCCAGTCCTCAACAAGAGCAGATAAACAGATACTGAACTCCTTGGAGACTTGAGAAGGAGGAGGGAGTCACAGGCTCGCTATACAACTATAAAACTACTAACTTATTGAGTATTCTGAATTAGATCTTGGGCTACCGGCTATAAACAAGTGCTCATGCACTGTAAACAAAATGAAAGGTAAATCTTACTTGCTTTGTTCAAACCAATTTTAAATCATCATGTGGCTAAAGGAAGTATAGGATGATTTGGTTTCCTTGTATGATTCGTAAGATTTAGTTTCCTTATATATAATTACTATATAAAACAGAACACAATTATGGAAAACCTACTGTGCTTAAACTTCAAGTGTTCAGAATATGTAACAAAAATGCCCCAAAATAAAAAAAGTTTGGTTTTCCCAATAATGAACTCCTAATCCTTCACAATAGAGGCCATCCACATTCCAGTCTGCTCTGAATTACTCCATATATTAAATCAGTTGTTTGGGGTTTTTTTTTAAAGTTACTGTGTAAAAGCATATATTTATAATGATAAATACAAAATTTTTTAAAAGGGGTATTTTAGGCTCTGACTTTAAGGAAAGTCACTCACTTAATTTTGTTCTAAAGCCGGTGATCCTCTAGGGATGAACCTGAAGCCCTCTCAGTAAGTTGCAGCCAACCTTTCCTGCCTCCTAGGGAGGCATACAAAGAACCAGACCAGCCTCCAGACTGCAGCTCAAGATGCCAAAGCTTCTTACCTGACAACTTCTGCTCCATTGGGCTCAATGACTAAAACATCAATGAACAAAAGATTTCATGTAACAATTGTAGCACCTGGAATTTTGTGCCACTAATGGTTTTGGTTTTGTTTTTTTTTTTTTTTTAATTAAAAAAACTTGCAAAAATCACCATCATTGAAACATGTTGAAGAATTCAAGGCTCCATCATACTTGGTCACTAGACTGGAAGAAATCCAGAGTACAAGCTGCAAAATGGAATAATTCTAGCTACACAGCATTTTCACCACTAAGTTTTTTGGTATTGTCAGCTTTTTTTTTTTTTTAACAAGTTGTTGGATATACTGCATCCAGTTTGCTACAGACTAGTACAATAGAAAAACTAATGTACATCATACCAAGACAAGTAGCTTCTAAGCATTAACCAGGAATGGAAAATTTCAGGTGTTCAGCTTGTGTCATTCAAATTTCCTTTTCCTATGCTAGCTGTGAACTTCAGTGGCTCAGGTGGATGCCACAGCTCTGTATCTTTGACAGGGTGTTGGTTATTCAATCATTAACAGTTCTTTCTGTTGCTCTTCTTGTTAAGAACTTTCTGTGAAATGAGGATGTATACATTAGCAGAGAAGATTAGCTCACCCCAATGTGAAGGATCCATTGACTGTGATAGGTGGTAAACCGTTTGTTCATCAAATTCAGTGAACTGTAATATGAACTATTGCATATTGTGTAATACTAACAGCAAATGCTTAATTGCACTAACATGATAGTGTAAAAAAAAAAAAAAAGACAGGAAAGGGGAGGGGAGAACAACAAGAGAGGAAGCATCTGTATGTCAGAAGATGTGGAGAATTGCAGGCGCATAATTGAATAAAACAGGAGGGTGTTCACGACCATGAATTTCATTATGCAAAGAGATTACTGGGCCTAGAACTCTGCAAACTCAGAGGATCATCATATTCCAAGCGAAAGGTGAAACGTACACTGTGAGGAGGACCTACGGCCTTCCTCCCAGAAGACCACCCCCCACGATTTGAAGACCCCTAACCATAGTTTTAACAACTTCTGTGCAAGCGTAAAGGACTGATAAGCTAATTACCATACGAAGCGGGAGTAGGAGTAGGCGGCTTCAAGTAATGAATATGTATATGTGTATAATAACTATGTAATACTTTGTAGTATAAGATTGAAACAGAGTGCCCTGGAGGGTGCGGTCCATTGTTGGAGCAGGAGACTCCCTGGCCGCCCAGCGCTGTTTTGCTTGTTGCCGCTTGCTAAATAAATTGGGAACTCTGACTCAGCCAATTTTAAGAAGTCAGTTTATAACATTGACTAATCTTTTTTTTTCTAGTAAGATTAATCTTTACTTGCAATTAGGAAAAAAAAAAAAAAGGTATATTTGGAGAAAGAAGTCTTTTATCTGCTGAGCTGTGTGGCAGCCTCACAGGGAACTGGCTAGATTGGAATAAGAGTTTTTACTCCATTGCCAACTACAGTACTCTCCTGAAACAAACAAGCACTAATCTTCCTCCACACCTGTTTTAACAGACACAATTTTTAAAGTATCATATAATAAAGAATATAATTTTAACGTATAGCCTTTCCTTTCAGTCTTTCTTCACGCATCAAATTGAAGACGAGGCAACTCAAGTTCTCCCTTTTTCATAGGCCACATTTAAAGAGGAAAGACAACTCGTACTAGTCCAGAAAGTCACTAGTGCTGAGATGATGGCAATGAACTTCATTACCCTCTTCAGCATTTCCACCACACTTTGGGGCATAGAGAATGGAGCCTTAAGTGTTACTGAAATAAAGGCATGAAACTACACATGAAGCCTAAGGGAGTCTTTTTCCCTTCTCAAATATACTCCATACAGCGTGTGTTTGATGAATACTAATTAAGAGTAGAAGCATTTAATTTGTAGTAATGAACTTCAAAAGCAAGCTCTGACTCCCTAGTCTTCAATCACAGTAGACTCCTACTAGTCAGGAGAAACACTGCAGGGGTCAGACTGGACTAATAAATTTCAGCATAATCAATATGTGCATACACACACGTGTATATACACAACATCTGATAATCACACACACACATATATACTTAACTTATGCTAATCATACCGGGGGTGGGTGGTGTGGTGGTGTTTGAGAAATAAAGAGTGCATCCAAAACTTGCTAGTGCTGTAATAATGAAAATACTACTTACTGGCAGAAGTTCTACAAATGCAACAAACTGAACCATATATTTGGATAGCAAAAGGGAAAACAACAGGATACAAAGCATGGCAACCACTAGGGAATCCAACTTTCTCAGCAGCATGCTGTTCTGGAAGTCCATTAACAGACAATTAGCAGATTTTGAGTAGGACATTTTTAAACTATGAGGTAATGCAGAGCCATTATACACACGAAGAGCTGGCACTGACCTGCCTGCTCTAGACAGGACTGATAGGGCAGCCCCACCTCCACAAGTGGGACAATGCAATTAGATCTCTACTTGCAGAGATACAATCAATGCTGTAATTAAGGAAAAACAGAGAGAGAGACTTGCTTCTGTTCGGGCAATAGAGAGTTTATCACACCTATTATACATCAGTGAGGCAGGTCTGCTTTACCGATTTTCTGTAGATAAGAACATAAAAAAATGAGACAAAAGGTTAAGTAAACCATTAAACATAAGGTAAGCCATTTTCACTGAAGTGGCACAGTTACAGCATATCGGCACCTCACAACCCCAAATGAAACAAGTCTTGGATTGACCTTGCTAGGTAATGACTCTTCACCTCTGTCTCATGCTTGAGTTATACAAAATACTACTAATTAAATGAATGACATTATAATGGTGGAGCCCTGCCTTCAGGATTTGCACTTGTAGTCTTCCTACTGCTGTGCAACTATGAGGCTTATAATGTGGGGTGCAGATTCCTTGCTCACACCCCATTGTTTAAGTGACAGCCCAATTTTTATACATCTGCTCATAGCGCAGAACACCATCACCTCCACACCCTGCAGCTACCACCAATAACATCATCTTCTACACATCTCTTCAGAAATTACAACAGCAACAAAAACAGTATTGCAAGTATCAAAGGCTTTAACAACACAAACACCAAGTTTCACAAATGGAGATGTCACAAAAAAAGGAGTATTAAAAAAAATCCAGAACAATGCAGGTACACTGTTCTTTCTAGCTGACACATAGAAGCAACAAATTGCTGCTCTAGGCAGTGAAGTACTGATCTTACCACTCCTGTCAATGTTCTTCAGCCATGTAACATCCTGCAGTCAACCTTCCTTTCCAGAATGAATTTAAAGAATATTTCCCCTCCACTTTATGTTATTCCTACAACTTCCTGCTGCACCAGTCCTTATTTGAACTGACTCTGCATACATATACCTAAAATCTAAAATAATTAATACCAGAAGCACTAGTAAGAATGCTTTGGGGCAGTAACCATGGACATCTTCATCACTGCAATACAGCAGGTGCTAGTTCAAGCAAACATTCAATTTTCTACCCTCAGATGCTGCTGAAACAGGTCAAAAAAAAGCAGCAATAACTGTGGGTTTATACACTGAGAAGAGAAAATGTATGCTGCAACACCAGACACTGCAGAGGTGGCAATCAAGCTGTGTTCAGATTAGCATGCTATGTAATAGTGGCATTTTGCTAAACAAAAAATGTAAGAAGAGACTAGGATTGTTATTTAGTTGTTCCAGGCAAACATCAATTGAAATAATAATTTTCTCATCTATGTCCAATTATAACACTGGAGACATTCCCTTCTTCCCAGAATTTTGTGCAAAGTTCTTGTTGGTATATTTTTGCCTAGCCCAATAACAAATACAATTATTCATAATAAGCACAATCATTCACTGGAGTGAAAGATGTAACACTACGTAGGACGCAGATTTAGGTAGAAAGCACCTCATACGGACAGCCTACTTGTTGATACTGCTTTACAAGCAATGTGTTTCCTTTTACCTGAATTGAGAAGAACGAGCATGCTTGCCGAGTTATCTTTTTAATCAGTAGATGCAGGCAGAATTGCAGTTCTAAATGGCAGAAAGCAAGAAGTCTCTCCCATTAATTCGTCCCAAATGGTTTATCTCAGTCTTTGGACTGAGGCTGTTCTGCCTTTCAGCCTTGCAGAAGCCTGGACAACTGCAAAGCGCTCAAGAGTTCATGACTCAGCCCACGTACTTTGAGTAATCACAAGGTATCTGGAAAGAGAGAAGAATGACAACTCTCTTCCCTTATTAGAAAATGCAAGAAGTTGTTTATTTCCCACCAGTGGCTGTCAACAGAAATCCTGCTGAAAAAGATGCAAAGGCCTTTATCCTCCGCAAGTGTGTGAACACTACAACTATTTTTCTGCTCTGACTTTTCACCTAAGGGCAGACCCCGTATTTATGCAGATCAAATAGTCTCTTCCTTCTCAAGCAGGGGCAGTAATGCTTTGGGACCTCCTCTCTAGGTAACAAGATCAATCTCATAGGGAAAGGACTGTGGTCCCCACTGGGACAGTCTTTAGGGACAACACATGATTAACAGCACTAAGCAGCCTCTAAAGCACCCTCAGTTTTCTTGTGCAACTCCAGAACATTTTACACACCAAGTGATTTTATCCACAAGTGGCACTGAGTTTTTTCCCCCACAAGCCTTTAGATCTGATTTTGATCAAAAAGTTTATTTTTCAACAGATTTTCTCCAAACACATAAAGAAACACTAGAAATAGCTGGGCATTTCACAATATAGAAATAGCTTCAAGAGGACACTTACATACACCATGCGTGCCAGTGGTGCAGCAGAGCCAAGTAATGATGGTACCATCAGCCTCTTGGCTGAAAAACAGTGAAATTAAACATTGGAGTCATCAGAAAAATCCGGCAGAAATATCAGCGTGATTTCTAATTAAACCACTGATGGAAGAGGGCTGGTCAATGTTATAAAGTGCATACATAGAGTTTGAGTGCATCTTGTATGTTGGATATCAAGTTCTTGGTTCTCACATATTACTTACACAGATCCTGATTGATATTTTACCAATGACATAGCAGTATATTTATTAAAGATGGTGACATCTTCAGTATTTGTGAAAATAAATACTTATAAATCAAACATGATAAAAATATTTAAACTCCTCAAGCTTAAATTTTTATTGTCATTTAGCCTATGTATAGTTTGTTCTGAAGCGGAAAAGCAAACCAGCACTTCCAACACAGCAGCAAATGATAATGTTCAATAAATCCAATAGCCTACTGCCACTAAAAGGAAAACAGTGGAATTACTCCAGAGGCAAAGTAACTATTACCCGTGGATCTAACACAGTAAATTAAACTTCTGTAATGAGGAGACAAATTTAGTATTTTAATCAGGAGGAACAAGTCTTTGAAAACCCAAAGCGCTGAGGGTGAGAATTTGCAAAAGCTGATCTCCCCTACCTTCTCAATGTTTTGCAACCTGATGGGATATAAGCCTGGGAAGTATGAAGGCAGAAGGTAAAAAGCAATTGACAGAAGAACATGAAAATGGTACAGTTCTCCAGGGCCAGCCTTCCTAGGGTTTTGTTCTACCTTCCAGGATATTCCACACAAGAAAACAAATTAGATTAAAAAAAAAAATAAAATTAATAAGGTAACATGATTTCTCTACAAAATAAATCTGGCATTTTACAAAGAGGTCAGATGATTAATGCACATTCAGCATTTTCAGCATTTCAGAAAACAGCTGTAAGAAGATCATAACGACATTTTTTATAAATACAAAACTAGGACTACTCTATACACAAACCAGGGGAAAAGAAACATTTAAATGCTTATTGCTGCAGTAAATATGATACGCTTTTGTGGCCCTTATACAGGAATGTCCTTCAGCTTATTTATACTCGTCTCTAATACAAGCAAGTGGTTGATTTATGGTACAGATCTATGATTACTACTTAGAAGACATGAAGTACTACAGTTGTTAAATCACAAGGTCAATAAATCTTTCTGCTTCTAACCATTAAGATGGGTGTCAGAAACAAATCATCAAGAGACAGGAATGAAGTATTATTCATCCCACCCAATTTAGTTGCTTACATTCCCTACAAAGTCAACAGAAGACAGCATAAAACATCTAATCTTTTCCATATTGACCACAGAAAGGACCTGGGCTTCTAAATGAGATATTTGAAAATAAACAGTATGGCCACCTCCCAAAAGAATGTATTTGGTGAGATTAGGTATTATCATCAATGGAGACATAAAAGTTACCTGTCGTCTTCTGAACTTCAGATGTAGGTCACTGCACACAAGGGGAATGGCTGCATAAACAAGTACTCTGACTTTCTCTTGCTATTCTGCCATTCACTCCCCTTCCTCCACCACTCAAGAGGAGGAAGGAAAAAATAAAACCACAAAAAGATAATACAAACATTACTGTTAACGTTTTAATCATGCAGATTTCTCACAAATAATTGAATATCAAGACTGGAATAAATTTGCTCAGAAATTCATGTGACAATTAACAAGGAAGGGACAACACAGATCTATAAACACAGAGGAACACTTTTGAAGTTTGCCCTTACCAGCAAAACCCCATATTTAAATTCACAGAAATACTAAAAGTGTTCCAGACAACTTTCTCGAGCACGCAAATATGTGTCAGCTGCTTGAAGATTTAGTTAAGCAACTTGTAGGGCCGAGGACTTTCCCTCCCCCATCATTCAAACAAAAGGAAACAGCTCACACTATCTCCCTGTGATGGCCTCAGGCCTAGTCAGTTTATGCAAGAGGCAGAGATTTACAGGCTACCTGTGAGAACTGAAGAGAAGGTATGGCAAATAACAGCTAGGACAATGGGTTTTCCTACTAGGTAGATGGAGGAAGAGGAAAATAAGTTTAAGCCTCCTTATTTCCAAAGCTCAACCCTAATATCAACCTTCCCCCCCAATACTGGGAGGTGTGAAAGAGAGAGGCCCTCAAAAAGACCAGAAAGCCAAGGGAGTTTTTAGGATGCTCTATTACAGAGATCCTGAAAGTATTCACAGGACTTAAGTGTTACTTCCTTCAAGGGACCCACTTGAAATAAGCAACCCAAAATCCATGCATACTCGACACGGAGTTGTGTCTGTACAAAGTAGCTTGTGTATTGCTTTGCTCAAAACTTCAACTTTAATGTGTGTTGAACTGCATAAACTTTGGTTATTTCCCAGGAATGTCATTCCTAAGGAGATGAGAAGAGTGGTGGCCATGAAGACCATGAGACACACCTGATAACAGCGAGATACTCATGTACATTGGAAGACGTGACCTCAAAGACCACAGCTGTTACCAGATTTGGTTCTTAAAGCAGTACATGGGGAAGATGATATACTCTCCCCAATATATCATCATCTTCCTAATCTCTATACCTATGTCACAACAATGGGGAAATATCGAGTAATTTTAGTCATCTGTGTTTTTGGGGACCTGAATTATATCCAGAATATGACATCTCAACAGTGCTTGAGTAAGAGTTGTACTTGAGAGGGAAAGAAAAAAACCCAAACACAGACAAAACCAGAGAGTCTTAAATCCAGTAAGAATCGATCTTTAGGACTGAGCTTTCATTCCAAGCTTTTCAGGGCATCACATGAATCTGATCATTAAACAATGGACCCTTCATAAAAGCAGAAAATCCCCATCAAATTCCAAAGCTGTCAACTGCATTTCCCTGCCTAAGTTTCGCTAGCTATTTCCTCTGGATGTGGCAGTCTTTCTTCTGGCCTCAAACACACCATATTGGTGAGCAGCTGCCACACCTCGGTGATGGCTAAAGAGCTACCCATTACTGCAAACAGAAAAACAAAGCCTATATAGAGTCTGGAGATTATTTATATGAAGTTATCATTTATCTAAAGTTACTGTACTGCAGTACTGTCCTGAAATAACTAGAAATACACTACTTGTGTTTCTTGTGTTATCTGCCACATCTCTCAGAGGTAAGTCAAGAGCACCTCAGAAAAAAGCACCAAACAAAACAAGTGAGAAAAAAACCTAAAACATATAATCATCAGGTCTGAAAAATTAATATCAGAACAGGGGAGAATGGGTACCACAGTAAAATTTGTCTCAGGCAGATTTAGAAACTAATTTTAAAAATAAAACTGAAAAGCAAATCAAGAATTGAACAGGAATCTACAACAAAGTGTTGAAATATCAGTCAGAATACACGAGAAGGGGTGAAGGTGTAGGGAGTATTAGATTCTTTTTCTAAAAGGATATGATACAGCAGAAAGCCATCTTTTTTTTCAGTAATCCTATCAGGTAGAACTCAAAAATTCCTGGGTTTTAGCCATGGATTCAGACACTGATCCTCACTGGGCTTTGGTTCCTGAGTTCTGGTAACACAGGTGCCCACCACCTCATGAGACAGCACAGAGAACAGGCAGCATGTCCAATTCAGAAAAATTCAGTACATCAACAGCTACTGACTTCAGTTGACTTCCAATATGCCAGCAAAACAGCTTGCTGCTGAGGAAGGAGCACATCTTGCTTCTCGCTCCCTTTCACTCCTGGCTACGTCACCCCAACTGTCTCCTTTAACCATCTATGATGCTCATCAGATCTTTGTCATGAGACAAATTAAACTCTCAAACTTTGCAGTAATTCTCTTTTCCTTCCTCCCTTTGAGTTATTCAGTAATCTGACAGAAAACGGTTTGCTCCCAGAGCAGTCCACAAAGCACTGTAGTTGTCAAAAGGTAAGGAAAAGTGGCAGTGGATGGAGGAAAAGGGGCAAGACCCCCCACTTCAGCCACACCATACTTCCCAGCTGATGTACTGCATCTTGCAGAACACGTGGCAGATCTGACCGCTCTGCCCAACAAGGTGACTGTCTTCAGGTGTGAGTGACAATAAAGAAATATCAAATCAAAGTGGCATGTTTCACAGGTGCAGTCCCTTATCTGATGGAGGCTGCTGCATTATAACAGCGCTATGAGCACAGAGTAATTAGGAGAGACTAAGCTGGGCTCTGCTGAATCTGGTGACACTGCACTTAATGATTCAGTCATTTAAGTAGCAGTTAATGCTTCATATGCTGGGTGAACATGCACATTTGCACTAACATACTGGAGCAGCAACATAGAGAAAAAAAGAGAGGACTTTTACACTAGTTTTTCTTATAAAAAGCATAGCACTTTTGACCTTGTAACAAATAAGAACACAGATAAAAGCAAGTAAAACCAGACTGACCATCTTCAGAAGCATAAATTGCCTGCAGTAAAAATAACGTGTAGCAATAGGGAAAGCAGAACAAGCAAACATGCAAGGGAAAAAGACAACATAAAGACGTCACTGCTAAATACGGGGGGTTGGGCATGAAAAATGATGCAGCCAAAACTGTGCTACTGCATTTAGGTTTTGGGGTTTTTTCCTCACATGAGCGTATAAAAAACTATGGACCAAGTTTATAAATCCTGCAAAGCAGCCGTGGATTTAACCACCAGGTGGCAGCGGCCATCCAAGTATTTCGCACCCGGGGGCTCCCTGTGCCACATCGAGCTGCCGGGAACTTACACTACAATTTGAGCGGAAAGCAAAAAAACCCTTTCTGGAGGAAAACAGTTTCTCTTCTTTTGGACATAAAGCAAAATCTGTTTGCTATTTAAAACAGCTTGCTTCGTAATTGTTTTCCCAAAATACAGTTTTCTTGTAAGAAATCCTATTTTCAACAGCAGCTCTTCTTATAAAGTCCTAAAGTGGTGGTCGTTATTTCCACGAGTGTAAAACCCGCGAGTCGGCTTTCACCCCTCACTGCGCACCGGCCTGCCGTTGCTGCAGGGACGGGGAAGGAGAGCCCGGCCGAGCCGGGCGCTCGCCACTCTGAGCCGTGCAGGGTGAGGGTTAAAGCCTTTGCCTCTGGGCTACGCCGGCTGCTTCTGCCCTCCCGCCCACGGCTGGGCCGGGCTGTGATCCCAGCCTTGCCCGGGCGCCAGGCCTGGAACCAGAAGCGCCCGGCCCAGCTCAGCCCCACGCTGAGGGCGGCCGGTTTCACTCCCGCGGCA